GTATTAGGAGCTGCCATGCTGTTGTTCCCTGTGACACTTCCCTCTTAGAAATCATGATATTCACATCCCGAATATACACATCCTGTAACAGCCCTAGCTCTGGCATCTTTCCAGGACACTAGGATACCACTAATATGAAATGAAACTGAATGTGGAATAATCGGGGAGACTAATCCCTTCCCAGTAGTGAGAAACGAATGTGGACTATGTTCCTCTTTTCTCCTGACAGTAAATTTTTTTTATTTTAAAAATTGTGATAAAATACACATAACAAAAATTTACCATTTTGACCATTTTAAAAACTTAATAGGTTTTAGATTTTAGAACAGTTTCAGATTTACAGAAAAATTAGCAGATTGTACAGAGAAATCCCATATACCTGTTCCCCTGCACTCAGTTCCCCTATGATTGCATCAGCATGGCATATGTTACAGTTATTGAATCAATAGTGATACATAATTATTAACCCATGTAGCCCATAGCTTACATTCAAGTTCCCTATTTGTGTTGTACAGCTCTGTAAGTTTTGACAAATGGGTAATGTCATGTATCTGTCATTACAGAATCATACAGAACAGTTTCACTGCTTAAAAATCTGGTCCTCCACCTATTCATTGCTTCTCCCTCCCTATTAACCAGTGGCAATCACTGATCTTTTTACTGTGTCTGAAGTTTTTCCTTTTCAGTAACGTATGGTTGGAATTATATAGCAGAAACCTCTTCAGTTTGGCTTTTACTTGGCCATATGCATTTACAGGTCTTCCATGTCTTTCATAGCTTGACAGTATATTCTTTGACATCACTGAGTGACAGTTCACGGTACAGCTATACCAGGGGTTGTTTGTCCATTCATCTATTCAAGGACATATTAGTTGCTTCCAGCTTTTGGTGACTATGAATAAAGCTACTGTAAATATTTGTGTACAGGTTTTGTGTGGACCTAAGTTTTTGACTCAGGGTAAATACTTAGGAGTGTGATTGCTGGCTCATACGGTAAAAGTATGTTTAGCTTTCTAAGAAACTACCAAACGGTCTTTCAAAGTGTTTTTTACAATATTCTCATTAGCAACAAATGAGAGAGTTCCTGTTGTCTACACTCTTATCAACACATTATTGTCAATTTAAAAGTTTATAGCCATTCTAATAGGTTTTAGAAAAGGCAGAGGAACAAGAGATCAAATTGCCAACATCCGCTGGATCATCAAAAAAGCCAGAGAGTTCCAGAAAAACATCTATTTCTTCTTTATTGACTATGTCAAAGCCTTTGACTGTGTGGATGTGGAAAATTCTGAAAGAGATGGGCATACCAGACCACCTGACCTGCCTCTTGAGAAACCTGTATGCAGGTCAGGAAGCAACAGTTAGAACTGGACATGGAACAACAGACTGGTTCCAAATAGGAAAAGGAGTACNAGGACTGATGCTGAAGCTGAAACTCCAATACTTTGGCCACCTGAAGGGAAGAGCTGACTCAATTTAAAATACCCTGATGCTGGGAAAGATTGAAGGCAGGAGGAGAAGGGGATGACAGAGGATGAGATGGTTGGATGGTATCACTGACTCAATGGACATGGGTTTGAGTGGACTCCGGGAGTTGGTGATGGACCAGGAGGCCTGGTGTGCTGAGGTTCATGGGGTCGCAGAGTCGGACATGACTGAGCGACTAGAGTCAACTGAACTGAATAGGTGTTTAGTGGTACCATATTAACCATTTTTAAGTTCATAGTGCAGCAGCATTAAGTACATTCACATTATTGTACTACCATCATCACAAAACTCTTTTCATCTAGTATGACTAAAACTCTGTACCCATTAAACAGCTTCCCAGTCCCTTTTTCAGCCCCTGCAACCACCATCCCACTATCAAATTTAAATACTCTAAAAGTACCTCATGTAAGTGAAATCATACAGCATTTGTCTTTGTTTTATCTTTAATTGATGATTGCTTTACAATATTGGTTTGATTTCTGCTGTACGGTATTTGTCTTTTTGTGACTGCCTTATTTCACTGAGCATAATGCCCTCGAGTTACAGCTATGTTGTGGGATGAGTCAGAATTTCCTTCCTAAGTTTGAATTATATATACATACATATATTTGTTACTTATTCACATATTACTTATACAGTCATCAGTCAAAATCTGCCATTGGTGAACACTTTGGGTGTCTAGTGCACTTTAGTTATTGGGACTAATACTGCTATGAACATGGGTGTACAAATGTCTTTGAAATCCTGCTTTGAGTTTTTTTTAGTATGTGCCCAAAAGTAGAACTGCTGGATCATTCTGTAATTCTATTTTTAATTTTTTGAGGAACAGCCATACTATTTTCCACAGCAGCTGTACCACTTTACATTCCCAGCAATAGTGCACAAGGGTTTCAATTTCTCCACATCCTTATCAACACCTAGCTGTGTTTTTTGTTGTTGTTTTGTTTTTTATGGTTAGCCATCCCAATGAATATGAATTGGTATCTCACTGTGGTTTTGTCCTGAGAGTGAATTTTAATGACAAGTATACTGGCTGTCAATATCAGGCCAGATAGAAAGAGCTCCTAGGAGATCAGCCTTTCTGTTAGAAATCATTAGAACTTCATGGTATTCTGCTTTGGGACAAAGCAAATATCCCTGTAAACTTAAGCAGACAAGTTAATTAATTGGGCATTAGGCTGTTGATTTCTGTTTTATTTTTTTAAAGATTTGTCATCAAAGTTTTTTTCTTCCCTAAATTCAGATTCCCTTATTATATTAAGCATTTGTTTTATGCAGTTTTGTATATCACTTAAGTGTGTGTGTGTGTGTGTGTGTGTGTAGTGTGAGTTTTACTGGAGTATGTTATACATGTGTCACAATTCAGCCATCCATTCAGATTCCCCCTAGTACTTAACAGGAAATCTTCAGGGACAGAGTTTGCTCTGTAAGCTCCAGAATCAGTTTTAGCCCGCTCTATGTTCCTGTGTGGCTCCATACAGGCCTCCACTCAGTTAGAGCCCGTGCTTACTCCTCTGCCAGTCATCACCTTGCAGTTCTAGGCAGGCTGTCTCAATTAGATCTCAGCCTCTATTCCTCCTACTACAGGCTGGTTCTGAACCATCAGTGGCTGCACAATGGCAAGAGGGACAGGTGGGGGTGAGAAACTCTGCTTTCTCTCTTTCTATGCCTTTTATTTCTTTTTCTTGCCTTGTTATAGTAACTTACTGTTAAGTTCCAGATCTTCCAGATACTGTGTTAAAAAGGACTGATGAAGTGGATGTCCTTGACTTGCCCCTGATTTTAGAGGGAAAGATGTCAAGTCTTTTACTGCTAAGCATGCTGTTAGCTGTAGGCTTTTTTGTGGATGCTTTTTTCAAGTCGGGGAAATTTCCCTCTATTTTTAGTTTGCTGAAAGACTTTTTCCCTTCGAATGGATGTTGGATTTTTATCAAATGCCTTTTCTGTATCAATAAGACCGGTTTTTTGAGTCCACATCTCTGATTCCAGCAAATTCTTCCCGGAACGATTGTGAGAATTTTTACTTATCGTAGGTGATTACCACCTATGCCCAAAATGGTTGGGCTGGAGGCCCTCAGAAGGCCACTACTTCAAAACAGAAAAGCCATGAAAATCAGTACATCTTGAATGTCCATAGTATTTGCTCTCAACTCCACAAGCAGAAGGACATCAGTAACACAGCTGATATTAAACTTCACTGTCTTGCCCAGTTTCATTTTCATGATCAATTCTAAGAATCTTACCCTGGATCCTGAAACACTTTACTACGGTTTGGAGGTCTCAGCCAGTGCTGAAGCAAAAATCCACACTCAGAAAAACAAGCAACAAGCTACACTAAAGATTGTTCTTTGAAACACTGGTTTGGGAGGGTTCTGTGTTTATATGAGTTTGTGAACTGTTGGTAAAAGGAGGTTAAATAGTATTCTTTGTCATTCGAGGTCTCAGAGCTTTAGATAAGCTAATATGTATGACAAATCTCCCAAGAGGAGAAATAAAGGAGGATTTCTCTCCCAAATTTTTTTATTATGGAAGTGTTGTATTTCAGAACATCTGAGTAATGAGCTTTGGAGAAAGTTTGTTTACAGGTTGAAGAAATCGAAATTCACGGAATTTTTTTTTATCCCAACCAAAGTATTTAACATATGAACTGAACTGAACACACAAAAAACTATGCCTTTTATCCATTTCAACACCGTACAACATTAAAATATATTAAGTTTAAATTTAGCATTCAGGTTACTAGTTTGTTTTCCCTACCAACAAGATGGGGGTCCTGATTTGCAGTTGAAGCCTACTCAGAGGAACCTTTAATGGAAAAGTTTATTCCAAAATGAGTCTTGAGAGAGAAAAATCTTCGAAATGGTAGCTTTTACAGTTTTAGCTTGTGTTTTTAGACTTAAAAAACTGTTTTGGAAGGACACCCCCAGCTACATTCAGACTGGTCCTTTGGTTTAACAAAAAATTTGGGAACGGGTGGGGCGTTGTAATACGCGTGGGTTTGGGGAGGTCGTTCGGTTTCTCCAAATCCAGACTAGAAGTTTTTCAGATTGCTGAGCAGAGGCCCAGACAGGAGGTCTCCTTTGGGCCACAGCCAAACAGCTGCACCGAGCGTGCTGGGAACTGTCCAGGCAGAGGTGGAACCGCAGCAAGGGGCCTCCAGGCGTCTCAGCCAAGTCGCACCGTCCGGGGTCCCCGCCTAGCGGAAATACACATCCCAAAGCCCTGCTCTCCACCCACCCACCCCGCCCCGGTCCGGATTAAAGGAGCTGGGCGGAGTCCAGGCCGCGGCCACTCCCCGGGCTCGGAAAAAAAACTGGGACGTTGCGGACACGGAGCTGGCTGGACCAGCGGCGCGTGGCACGCGCTCTTCCTCCCGCGCATGCTCCGGCCGGTCGCCTCCCGGTCCCATCCCGGGTCCCGCCTCTCTCGCTCCCTTTCCCCCTCCCCTGCCAGCCTCCCTCCGAGCTTGGCCCCTCCGGGCGCGCGGCCGACGTCCCACTTGCGTGCCGGCGCCTGACTTCACTTCCGGCTAACGCGCTCTGCTTGCCCCCTGGCCCCGGATGGTGACTGGTGGTGGTGCTGCACCTCCCGGGACTGTCACTGAGCCGCTTCCCAGTGTGATTGTGCTGAGCGCAGGCCGGAAGATGGCGGCTGCGGCTGCTGCGGCCTCTGGCCCGGGCTGCTCCTCGGCGGCGGGGGCGGGAGCGGCCGGGGTCTCCGAGTGGCTGGTGCTGCGGGACGGCTGCATGCGCTGCGACGCCGACGGGCTGCACAGCCTCTCCTACCACCCGGCGCTCAACGCCATCCTGGCCGTGACCAGTCGCGGGACCATCAAAGTCATCGACGGCACCTCAGGGGCCACCCTGCAGGCCTCGGCTCTCAGCGGTGAGTGTGCGGCAACGCCGGGCGGGGGCCGGGCCCGCCGCGGGAGGAGCCGGGCCCCGGGATGCCGGGGAAGGAAGCCGCCCAGCCCCGGGGCTCGGCCTCCGGAGGAGGGGAGCGGCGGAGGGCAGGGCTGGGGGCTCAGGCCTGGCTGTGAAGGGAGGCCGGGAAACTGATGGAGGAGGACCTTAGAAGTTGGCTGTTTCAGCGGCTGCAGCTGGGAAGGAAAGACGGGCGAGACGGGGAGTGGTGGGAGTTGCCTTTCGGGCTTTGAGCGTCCGGTGTGGGTTGGTCCTCTGGGAGACGTGAGGAGGCCTAAGAGCTCAGCACCGGAGAAGCCCAGGCTCCGGGCTAGGTCCTGGAGAGGGTGTCGGTACAGTTTCTGTTAGATCGGAAAGCGAAAGGGTTGCAGGGTTGGTCCGGACTTGAGAGGCCGGTGGCCGGAGGCAAGCGTCCGAGCCGGCATCCAAGCCCTCGCCTCTCGCGGAGAGAAGAGGATCCGCGTCTGTTCCTGGGACCCGCAGGTGCTGGGGTGTACCGCAGGCTTCGCGCCCGGCGTGGGGGTTGGGTGGGCCTGGAGTGGGGGCGGGGAGGGAAGTAGGAGGGCCGGCTGCCCGAACTGTTCCATCGACCGCTTTAGGGCTCGGGCGGACGCCGTGGAAGACTGGCTCTTGTTCCCTGGCTCGGGGCTTCCGCCTTCTACCCCCCAGGGACGAGAAACTCAGCACCTGCGGTGTCTGAGCTGTAGATTCCTTTGGGTTCGTAATGAGGTGAAACTTCCGGCACACTCTGCTGGTTTTACCACTGCGAGCCAAGAGTTGGGATAAGGGGGCATGTGTGAGGCTCAGCGGTGGAGGAGACCAGTGCTGGCTACTGTAAACCTTGGTCCAGGGACGGGACTTGGAGGATGAGAGAGGTGAACGCTCGACGGGTTGTAGGAGGATGTTTTGGAGTTGTCCGGGCAAGGTTACTTTTGGGTGAATCGACATTTCATTTGCGGTTGAATGATGAGTGGCTTAATTTAGATGTTACAAATCGAGACTGAAAAGTTAGTATACGAGTTAGACTCCTGCGCAGAGTGTAATGTACATGACTGTTCGCATTTAGCCAAGTGGAAGTAGTTACGTGGTCTTACCAACTCACTTATATTTTAACAGCGCCAAATAAGGTGATTGTTCTGATTTACTGTTAGGCACTTAAGAGTAAATGGCAATTTAGAGATACAGAGTTAAAGGATTTAATTTTTGTTGATGTGAGCTTTGTGAAAGAAATGGATTTGGATAGCTATAGAAAATAAATCTGAAACACATGTAAAATATATCTAAGAGAAAGTTTGTATTGTAGCCTTGTGATTTTTCTTTTCTTGGCTTAGGTAAAGTACAAAAGTGGTGTCCCAGATGTAGCAATGAGCATTCACTGCAACTTGGCCATAACATCTTGTCACTCTGTATGGGAGGGTACTTCTCATCAATAGTTGGATTTCTTTCTTCTTGAACTCACTTAAATATATTTCACACTTGAAAAGGTATAAAGAACAGTTGTGACAAACAACCATGTATTCCAGACTCTTAATTAAAAAAATAAAACATTACAGTGTTGAAGTTTTCTGTGTCCCTCCTGGATTGCATTCCTCCTGTTCTCTCTTTTTATACACGTATTTATGTTTTTTAGTATATACCTTTATTTTTAAACAGTATCTATTGGTATCTTTCATGATTTTAAACTTTGAATAAGTAGTATCATAGTGTATGTATTTGTATTTCTATAAAAAGTCTTTTTAACAAAAGTCTTAAAATGTTTTCAATAGAAAGAGGACTCTTAAGCGGTGTTTTTGTGTCTGGAGGCCATGTTTCAGAAAGGTTATATGTGCCAGAGTTAGTTATAAATGATTGGGGAAATTGGAAGTAAATGAATGTGCCTGTTCATGAAAAGGGAAGAAAACAGTCACTCACGTGGTAGATTGCTAAAGGGGAGGGCTTTGGGTACATAATATAAGTATAAAGATAAATACATAAACTACAGCATTGATTTGGGATAACTTAGTTGAAGTAGGTTGGAACATTTAATTGGGAAGTATGGAAACAGATACAACAGTGGATGGACATGCATTGAGAATTGAGTAATATGTGATTAGAATTACGTAGAAGAGTTTATGGAAAAACAAGGATTATAAAGCAGGTTTAAAAGTAACAATGGAAAAATTCAGAAATGTTTTCATATATAAGAAATGCGGTTGATCAATAATAATGATCAGAAGTCATATAGGGTCCTGTTTGTGTCGTGCCTTCAGATGGTTGGCCAAGGAATGAGGGATTTTATGTTTTGCCTTGAACATGTAAGTACTTGGTAGGTTTGCTTTAGTAATGAATAGAGGGTGACAATTCTGTCAGTAGAATGGGGAGAAAGTGCCATGAGTAACCATGGTCCTAACATGACCCATCTTTCCAGTTCATGGGCAGTGAGCCACCTACTTTTCTACCCCCAGAGGAAAGACATCTTTGGGTAAGGGGATATGGAGTGATGTAAACATATGGAGCTTTATTGGGTGAGAGCGTAGACTTACGGATGGGTTCAGTTTATGGGGTTATGGGTAGCCTGTTGGTGTAGATTGGAAATCGAAAAGTGGGAGCAGGGCTTGTATGTACATGTATTCACTTGTATGGCAATGGGAGCAGGGCTTGTATGTACATGTATTCACTTGTATGGCAATGATGGTGAATTTTTAATTCTATTTTTATTTTTTAAAATTAATTTTAATTGGAGGCTAATTGCTTTACAATATTGTGGTGGTTTTTGCCATACATTGACATGAATCAGCCCTGGGTGTACATCTGTTCCCCATCCTGAACCCCCCCCCCCATCCCATCCCTCAGGGTCGTCCCAGTGCACCAGCCCTGAGCGCCCTGTCTCATGCATCGAACCTGGACTGGTGATCTGTTTCACATATGGTAATACACATGTTTCAATGCTGTTCTCTGAGATCATCCCACCCTCACCTTCTCACTGAGTCCAAACATCTCTTCTTTACGTCTGTGTCTCTTCTGCTGTCTTGCATATAGGGTCATCATTATCATCTTTCTAAATTCCATTTATATGCATTAATATACTGTATTGGTGTTTTTCTTTCTGACTTACTTCACTCTGTATAATAGGCTCAAGTTTCAATGATGGTGAATTTTTAACTACTACTGTTGACTACTGTCTATCTTCAAATTATGTGTCTCTCACATAAAATATTTATAAGTACACTTTTCATTAGACTAAGAATCATCAATATATACTTAGTTAGGCAAACATTTGCTCCTTGCTAGTGTTTTCACAAGTGTGCTAGTTGCTCAGTCGTGTCTGACTCTTTGCGACCCCATAGACCATAGCCCACCAGACACCACCTCTCTCCCCGTCCATGGGTTCTCCAGGTAAGAATATGGGAGTGGGTGGCCATTTCCTTCTCCAGGGGTTCTTCCCAACCCAGGGTTAAGATTTCTGAATCTGGCTTTTACCTGTCTTTCTAGTCTTGTCTCCCCATTTTGTTCTGTGAAACTGGTTCATTTAATTTTCTTTTCCAACTGCAGTAATTTTATTCCTTCTTAGAATTCACCAATTCCCTTCAGAAAATTAGATGAATCTTACCCCAATTCAGGACCTAGAGCATACCTTTAACTTCCTAATTCTTTTTGCTCGAAATAATCCACTGAACCCCTAAGCACATTGTCCTGTTAATGCCTATTTTAGTAATTTGACAACTTAGCTGTTTGTGATGTGTTTCCTGTCTTGAACTATTTAAATTTCATCTTATTTAGTTGTGTGTGAATATATGATGTCTGTTTAACTATATTTCAAACTCCTTGTGGGAAGGAGCCTTGTCTACTTGTTTATATCCCCTCCACAGGACGCTTAGTACAATATTTTAATGAATATTTTTTGATTTGCTGTATGTATACTAATGAGTATGTTAGATGGATGCTTCTTTTTAACTGCTCAGTAAACACTTTCTTTGGTTTTGGGTTTTTTTTCCTTTCTTTCATAAGTAGATTTTATTTTTTTTTTTTGAGAATCGTTTCAGGTTCATAGTAAAACTAAGCAGAAAGTACAGAGTTCCCATATTCTGCCTCCATTCCCTTCATTGTCAGCATCAGACCTCACTGGTGTGTTTGTTACAGTCAGTAAACCTGCATTAGTGCGTCATCACCTAAAGTCCGTAGTTTATGTTAGGGTTCACCGTTGTACATTCTATTGGTTCTGACTATATATGACATATTGTGGAATATAGTCTCATTAAAAAACCCTTACTCTGCCTATTCACCCCTCCTACTCTCTGACAACTATTGATCTTTTTATTGTCTCCGTAGTTTTGCCATTTCTAGAAAGTCATGTAGTATGTAGCCTTTTCAGTATGGCTTCTTTCACCTTAATAATACAAATTTAAGTTTCTTTTATGTCTTTCTGTAGCTTGATAGGTTGTTTCCTTTTATCACTGAATAATATTTTGGATTGTACCATTTTCTGGATGTACCACAGTTTGTCCATTCACCTACTGAGATATCTTGGTTGCTTCCAGTTTGTGACAGTTATGAATAAAGCTGCTATAAATATCTGGGTCTAGGCATTTGTGTATACAGAAGTTTTCAGTTCATTTGGGTACCTACCAAGGATCATGACTGCTGGAGCCTATAGCAGGAGTATGTTTAGTTTTATAATAAATTACCAAACTGTCTTCTAAAGTGGCTGTACCATTTTGCATTTCCAGAAGCAACAAATGAGAGTTCTGTTGCTTTACATCTTCATCAGCATTTGATATTGTTAGTGTTTTGGATTGCTGCTTTTCTAATAGGTGTGTAGTGGTATCTCAGTGTTCTAGTTTGTAATTCCCTAATGACATACGATGTTGAACATGTTTTCATATGCTTACTTGTGGACTTTGGGTTATAAAAATCAAAATAGCTCTACATACACCACTTGGCTATGTAGAGTCATAGTAAAAAAAAAAAAAACAACACTTGTTT